CTCGTCGCCCTGCCACGAACTGCGCGCATTTTTATGGTCGTGTTCCAAGGTCTGAACTTCGAAACGCGTCTCTCCTTTTTTCCCCGTTGCTCCTCGAGCAGCCTGCAGACTCCAGCCGATTTCCTTCGAGCATCAACGGCGAGCGACCGCGACGCGCCCTACGTGGAGGCGATTAATCGCGTGCTAATCGGCCGCGAATCGAAACGAGGAAGCGCCGCGAGACGGCCGAAGAACGATACGAAAACGAGGAAACGGAAAAACAAGGTTGTCGGAAGGGAACGGCGGCCGAGATAGATGGAAATAGCGTCGGAGAGGGCCGGTCGTGGCCTTTATGTAGTAAACTATTGGTAGTGCGAACAGCTCAATGGTGAAACGAGAGACGTAACCGAAGCTGCGTCATAAAACGGTAATAGGGCGTCGCGTTTCCTTTTCGTAGAGGTTTTGACGAGGGAGTGGGACGTTAGGGGCGGAACGAGAAGGAAGGCTCGGACCGAAGCGTTGTCGCGACCGAAAACGACCACGTTTTCGGCGAACCTTTGCGCGAGTTTCGCGAAGAAAAGTCTCGCGAGCGAAGGCAGAAGATGGAACACTCGGTGGCAAAACGAGCGTAACAGCGATCGCGAACTTGCGAGCGAGCGAGCGAACGAGCGACGTCGCGTCAGCGTACGGTCCAAAGCGGACCGTGACCGAGCCACGTCGTCGTAGCCATAACAACGTTCCTCTCTTTCTCTCTCTCTCTCTTTCTCTCTCTCCTATTACCTTTATCCATTTTGCACGCGCGCGATCTACGTAGCGGCAAAATTCGAGCGATCGCGGCCGATCGTTGCCGCAAACCTTCTGAGAAAAAGGTTACGTCGAGAGGAGAAACGAGCGGAAAGTCGAAACGAAGCGTAAAGGAACGGGTTCGACGTGGTCCGTACGTGGATGATTCGCAGCGTTCTACCAAACGACAAGAAACGAGGAAAGGAGGCTTTTGTTCGACCGATGGGGAACGAATCGTGGATCGGGACGTTTCCCGTTGGAAGACGACGAACCGTCGATATCGCGCGCATACCCCGATGATTTCCTTAGACGCAGTTCGTTCGGGGCAATGATTTACCGTCTTGAAAACGGTCAGACCCTCGAGGAAAAACGCACGTCCCTATACACATGTCGAAACACTTGTTGCTCGATGGAAAAGTCGAGGACCCCCCGTTGACACACGTGCCCTCCATGCAGGACAGTTTCGCTCACGGGACGCTTTCGCATCTCTGTCGGGAGTCGTCGTCGTCGTCGTCGAGGAATTTTCAAGACGAGAAAAGAACGCGCTATGAAGGACTTACGTTCTCGTTTGCGGCGTGCGATCCCTCTGCCGTCGATTCTTGAACCAGTTGGCCACCTGAGTCAAGGTCAAGCCGGTCTCCTTCGCCAGATTCTTCTTCTCCTCGGAAAGCGGGTACTTGGTTCTCATGTAGCACTGTTTCAACGCGTTTCTCGATCGCTCCTTGAAGCAGTACACCACCTCCTCGCCGTCCCAGATCGTCTTCGGCAACGGATACTTTTTGCGCAGCCGATACTTGTCGACCGCGCC